AAATATTTTTCTCAAGTGCCTCTGGTACTTGATTTTGGAGCACTTCGGTTTTTTGTAAAACTTTCTAAGGAAAGTTTTTTCGAGGATTTTGATCTATACTGTTTTCGATAGAGAACTTCAAAGGCTATCGAAATCACTATTTAGATTTGATCTAGCTATTCGTCTTCATTGAAAAATCTCAACGACAAAAGGGGGTCTATAATTTTGATAAGCCCTGTAGTTTTTTTTGCAAAAGCAATCAATACTTATAGAGAAAGGCCGTTCACATAGAAAACATCACAAAATAAGGAGTAATTCGATATTTTTATTGGCGCAAGTTTCTTTTTGTGAAAGACGACCTAAGAGGATTGTTGAAGTGTGAAAGACTAAAAATTTGGACCCACTTCCCCTCATCCTCACAGATGTGACAAACATGTTAGTAGTGGCTTATCATAAACGTGATAGACACCCTTAGCAACGCTTTCTCTCCATCACCGACCGTAACAGACGCCTAAGTTCCCTCCGTTGAAAATGTCAGCGACTCCTTCATATTTTACATTCTAATTCCGCAGAGATTGCGCTAAAAGCTTATATGTAAGGTGAATACCATATTCGAAATAAATATTAAAAAAACGCTCAAAAACAAGAGGAAAAACAGCTGACTCTTTGATCCCATTGATTCTGCATGATTCTAATGACTCAAATGCTACACAATCAACTGTTTCTTTCTTGGATTTGATTCTCTCATATTCTAGAGAATTTTTATATTATTAATTTTACTGAAAAAACCATTATAAAGTAAACCGAGATGTTATATTTATTATTACATTCATAGACAGAAAGCATGAATATTCATAAAAGAAAAGACAAGACACGAGCATTTAATCAAGTTTATAAAGTTTAAGAGTTGATGGTTTTTCCGTTCTAAACCGAGATGAAGTGATAGTTTTTTTTATTTCCAAAAAGAAAAGCGCTTTAAAAAAAGGCGAAAGTTTGAAATCTATCCTCTAATCAATAGTAAGAAATAAAAATAAACTAATATATAAGAAATAAAATTCAATCATTTCATTATTTTATAGAAAGAATAATGAAAAAATCTTATTTATTTTCATAGAATTTCTTTTATTTTTATTCAAAAACAGGATCAAGTTAAATACATCAATCATTTATATCGAAGAAGTTTAAGATAAATATTATTTCTTGTAAATGTTTTTGATCTAGGATCATGAATTGTTTCTTGTGTCTGTTGGATGAATTGATATTGTTTTCGGATATTTTTGTTTTATTTGTAAGATTTTTGAAATAGTTGATGTTAAAACAAGTAATCTGGAAAGTTTTTTTAAATAATACTGTATTTGTTTTAGTGTATTATTTGTCAATGAAATATTTTATAAAAAACAAATAACTCGATACCAATAAAATCTTCTTCCATGTGGTTCAACAAGATAATTAAGTTCTTCAAGTACTTCATTTCGATCAATTAAATCATTCGTTGAAAGATGTTCTAAAACTAATAGACGAACTTTTGAACAACGTCGTGTATCAACACCTGTTCATTCATCATGTATTGGAATAATACGACAAGTATTTAAATTTGATTCATGTTTTACTGATATTTCACTACAAGAAAAAACCAACAACAATAGAAATAAAAACAAATAAAAAAAATATTTAACTTCGATTTCTTTCTTTCCTCCATAATCTATATCTTGTTGATGAGTATTTTTTGATGAAGATGGAGGAACATAATTAGTTGGTTGAAGAGGAGCAGAACTTGATGGTTGATTAATTTCTTTTAATTGATGACTAACTTCATCCATTATAGCTGAATCTAATTGTGATAGACTATATGCTTCTTCGTAAAAATCTCAATCGAAGAAATTTAATTAAATAATAGAATTCTTTTCTACTACTTCTTCGTCATCATTATCTTTAAGTAGTTCTAAAACGGCTTTCGAAGGTTATCCAGTTGATAATAATATTGATTCTCTAAGTGATGTTTGTGGTTGTCGAATAATTCTTTGTTGTGTTTCAATAAAATTCTCATCTGATGGATTATAAGGTTCACCATCTGATTGATCGGAATCATCGGCAAGACCTAAACGTTGTGAAAGTGATGGATATGAACGTTTTATTGAAGATGAATATTCTCCATTTGATAAAAGTCTATGTTTTTATTGTTGAATTCCAATTTGATTCTGCTGATGAATAAATACTCATTTTTTATTATTATCAACATTATAATCGTTTATTCTTCCTCGCAATCATTATATCTTACTTTCTTCTTTGACAATCAATTTTTTCCAATTAGAACAAAACGATTGTGGCGACATTAACTTATTTATGCATTATTGTTAACCTCTATAAGAGTTAATCAAATAAATATGGTTGAATAACAATGTGTCTTTGTTTCGAGCGGTAATTCATTTTTTTTCTCATTATTGAATAATTTATCCAATAAATTAGTGAAAACAAATGTCATTTATTTTGAAAGATAAAGAAAATAATGAAAAGCTTGATCATCAGATACGTGACTTGAATTATCTGATATTGCAAATGGATAATTACATGCATTAGAGAGATTGAATTTCTTTCGTATTTATACAAAATGTCAACAAGAATTAAAATCATGGCATTCAGCTGCTGTTACACATCTTAGTCACATCTATTCACAACGTTTAGCAGATTTAGCTCAAGTTTATACTCAAGATGTTTCTCCTCAATCGAACAAATTCAAATAGAAAATGATTGATCAAATTAAAAGTCGTATTATGCCACGAATTACTAAAGTTCTTGATGATCCAACACCTGATCCAGATAAAGTTGACAAAATGCAGGTTCGTATACACATCAAATATCGACCTTGACTTTTTCATTATTTAGCCAAGTTGAATTCAGATATTTTTCATTACATTTTGAGATAACGTGGAAAGAATTCTTACCCTCACACATTGATGTAATTTTTGCGAGTCGTTCGAAAAAGATCTAGCGATAGCTATTACGACCTATTTGAAATTAATTTTTTTCATTATTGTTCTGCGTTTCGATAGTTTATTTTCAAAAATCAGATGTCTGATAGTTAATAATAAAGTGAAATGCCGAAATCTAACAACAAAATTGAAATAAATTACTAAACCTCTTCGAATTTTGGTTTTAACTTTCATTCAACATTGAGTCATTTCTATGGATTAGAGACCTGCGGAGTCAAGTTTTTTGATTCCGAAAAATTTCTTCTGCACAACTGCAACTTCGATCCCGAAAATTTACGATTTGCTGACTTCGACGGAGTCGAGGTTCGAAGTTTCCCGCAGCTCTCTACTATGGACCCTAAAGGTATTCCAATACGTACATCTTATAACAAAGAGATATCTTACATTTGATATACTTCTTGTCCCAATGTATTATGACAGGTCGAGAGTGCATTTCGCAATAATTTGTAGTTTGCTAATTTATTCGAAGAGATTTTTTATTTGATAGAAATGTATCTATGTGATATTGTCTAATTATTTTGAATTTCTTAGTATTATATATCTACTGTTATTGTCTAATGGGCGCTGCCGTCAGTATCTTCCAAAACTTTGATGACAATGTTTGACAAAAGTTCAGAAACGTTTTTGTGAAACCCAGATATTGTGATCAGTTGGTTTGATCTCCTGGTGCTCTGTGATGATAATTTCGGGACTCCCTTCTCCTAACTAATCACGTGATTTCCGAACAGTTTCTTATACACTGTTCATCCTTCCGAATCATATCGAATAGAGTAGGTTGATAATCACATTTAGTCAATGCAAATGTCTACCTGAATATTTGCATATTCGGTATTGAATGGGCACTTTACGAAGTTTCTTATTGCCTTCCTCCAAAGAATTAAAATATTTTCATCTTTATGTCGTTTTGAATCCACGAAAAGATAATTTCTTTGATAATTTAGAATTTGTTATGTCATATAAAATCTGAATGTAATATGATGCTTGATCGTCAATGGATTTGTCTACAATTACCTGATATAAAAAGTTTATCAATTCCAATAAAAATTACAAAAATGGCTTTATCAACTCATTTAGCTACTCATGAAAAGGATCTATTAGAAGATTTAAGTGATGATGAAACAAAAAAAGAAGAAACATTACCTGCGAAAAAAAACGAAAAACAAGTTCAATTGATATTATTGATATATTTACTATAAATCCTGAACCAATAAAAAATTATTCATTAGATACAAATTCATCAACATTAGCACTTTCAAATACATATTTTCTTCTTCATGATAATCATAAATTGATTTTATTTGATTATCATAAAAAATAAAATGAACTTGATTGGAAGGATAATAATTATGGTTTGTTTCTTTCTTTGTTTTATTTAATTTAAAAATAAATTTTAAATTTTGTTAAAGGTATTCTTGTTGATATATGTTGGATGTCATCATTATCTGTATTTGTTATATTAACAATTCGTTTTGTATATTTATATGATCCAATAAAGCCATCACCAAATCTTCCAATTGAAATCGATGTAATTCAACCATTAACTCGATCACATGTATTAGCATCAATATCACCATTTGAACTTGATATTTATATAAATTATCATAAAGGTGTACATATTGATCAATATCGTTGTTCATCAACATCACAATGGACATTAGAAAAACGTTATTCGAAATCAGATTGTTGTGAAACAAAAGATATTGGAATTCGTGATGTTCGTTGTGATTCACAATATATGTGTTTATCAATAATGCAACAAGATGATTTAAAATAGCGATTAGACTTAATGTCGCGTGATATGAAAAGAATAAGACATGGAATTTCAATGGATTCAGAAGAAAATCAACATAAATTTTTTTTCAATGTTTATACCACTTCATGATCAACGATGGTTATTTGTTAATTGGTATACTAATAAACTTTGGGCGATTGATCAACAAGGAAAAAAAATTCATTAAAAATACTAAAATAAGAAATATTCGAAATGTTTGTATTTCTCCAAATGGTTCTTATATGGCTATTAGAACGAAAAAACCAACAGTTCTTAAACTTTATAAACTTGATTAAATCCTCATGTCTTGTCGTTTCTTTTGTGAATATTCATTCTCTCTGTCTATGACTGTGATAGTAAATATAACATCTCAATTTACTTTATAATCTTTATTTCAGTAAAATTAATAATACAAAAATTCCCTAGAATATGAGAGAATCGAATTCAAGAAAGAAATACTTGATTGTGCAGCATTCGAATCATGTAGAATCAATGAGATCAGAGAACAACCTATTTCCTCTTTTTGCTATTATCCAAGCATGTAAAAACATTTTGATTTATATTTTCATCAGAAAAATTGACTATCGAACCATGTTTTAAATCTTTTATTTGTTTAGATAAAGCTAATTCTTTCATTATTGATGGAACCATATCAATCCTTTGATATGTCGTTTAAAGAAATTAACCAAATAATAAAAACTGGATCCCACGAAAAAGTGATCATCTTGGTAAGTAATTTTTTTCTTTGTCTCGAGATTCAATAAAATATCGTCCACATAGTTTCAAAGGATTGATTGAAGAAGAGTCCATTTAACATTGAAAAAAAGATATGGCTATTTATCAAATGATGTAAAAACGGAACTGGCCGACATGCAGTGGCTAATAGATTTGATGAAATCATGCTATTGTAAGTCTCATGCATAAGAAATATGCCAATATTTAAATGATTTTTTTTGTTCTAGATGAGGTCAGAGATTCATTTGATGAATAAGACAAAAATAATCAAAACATATAAAAAAACAAAAAAATACAAAAAACCAAAAAAAAGCTTATCAACAATTTGATGACGTATGTATTAAGAGAAAGAAATGAAATATATTTAAAAAAGAATATTATATTTAGGAACCATCCTCTCGAATTCATTATGTTCATCAAACTAGTACAACAAAACCACTTTCAACAACAACTGGTTCACCAATATTTATAGAAAAGACTAAAAGTAGTACGAAAGGAATTCCACCACCAATAGCTCCAAAACCATGATGACCACGTCAAACAAGTACAACAGCAGCAGCTGTAGTTCCACCAATAACTTCGCTGCCATCATATTCACAAACAGCAGATGAAAATAAATTACTGCATGATATATCACGTTCAAATGTGACTATTACTGATCGACATCCATCCCAAACATTTAATCGATCATCATCGTCAATGAATCAAATATAAACAAACATAAATGAACAACAAGACATCGTTCGAACAAGAAATAAATCTGTTAGTATTCCTCATTCAAGGTTATTTCATTTCAGTAGTGATTTTTTTTCGTAACAACTATTCTTATTTAGATTTTCAAAAGGTGTTTGTATTGATCCATTTCGTGTTGTTAGTGTTTAGGTCGAGGTCATTTTGACAAAGTAATTTCTTCATATTTTGAAATAATTTATTTGATTTTTAAAATTTTAGGTCATATTGGCTGAATATGTTCCACGTCGTGGAGATTATTATGCATTAAAAGTGTTGAAAAAAGGCGATATATTAGCACGTGATCAAGTTCAATCATTAATGTGAGAAAAAAACGAATATTTAAAGTAATAGATCGTAGTCGTCATTCAGTTGTAACAAATCTCTATTCATGTTTTCAAACTCGTGATCATGTTATATTTGTTGTGGAATATGCATTTGGTGGTGATCTTATGATGTATATTCATCAAGATGTTTTTGATGAACAATGTGAATGTTTTTATGCTATTTATGTTGTACTGAGAGGAAATATTCTTATCAATATAATTCACTAATTGTTTGTTAATTTTCTTGCATATTTTTTTTTGTTCTTGTTTAATGGAAATGAAATATTATTTATGAAATATAAAGCTTGATATTAGATAATTTATTAATTCCATTCAAACAGTGACGTAGCCAGGAATTTCTTAATCGTGGACTATTTCCTAGCTAAATAATTTTGAAGATTGGGCGATTAAAAATCAATTGGCTAAATGTGTCTTGATGTCGAACAATGACAAGCGCTATTTCATATTTTGTCATGAGTGAATCTTCCGAACTTGAGAGTTTTCTTCTGTGTGATTCTGATGTTCTATTACTAATACATTATGTAAATTACGTGTTACAGCTTAATTGCTACTACTCGCAATTCCAGACTGTATTTTCAAAACACTTTCATTTACACATTGGATCAGTTTTTTATTTACATTTTTCTTTAGTTCATAGAAGGTTTTATAGTTCTTAAGTTGCAAGAGTCATATCATCAGTGACATCGTCAAAGGGTTTAGTTTACGTTACTTTAGTCATTTCTGTCCAATACGATTTTATGTTCGCGAAAAAGTCAGTAAGCATTCAATCGCGTTTTTCGTCAACGAATTTTAGTGGCATAGCAAGTATTTTGACGAAAAAATATTGTTGAAAATTGTCATCATTGTCATCATCGGTTTAAAGGAAAAGATTGTCAATTAATCTTTTTGGATTGTTTGGTTAAATTACAACGAGAGACAATCTATTAAAATAGTACATGTGAGTCGTTGAACATGCATGTATATCAAAATTTTTTGGCATTGGACAATTGGTTTCATCTCAAAAAACATTTGGGTAATAAGTTTTGAACCATTAGGCAATTGTCCATTCAGCCTATCCCTGGCTACATCACTCAATTCAAGTTTTTTTTCTTAAATTTCCTTATTGAAGGGAGTTATTTATTAACATTCCTTCCAGATACATAGTAAATTACTAGCAAGTGCCCATGTAAATTGCACGATTATTCTTTCTTTAATCTTATCCCTTGATCTCCAGTACTAATCTTTGACTCTTGATCTTTAACCAATAGCAGATGCCGCCATATATACGCGTGAAAAGAGATTGGGAAATATTTGACACTGTTTCAGAAAAATGGTCAAAACTATTAAAACTATTCTAAAGGACTCGAGACAGCCCTAGAAGATCCTAGAAAGTTCTAGGGTATTTCATGATGTGTGATCCGAGCATAGACATAGAAACTTTCATACTAAACATCTTCGTCTTCGTCTACGAAATGTGCTGCAACTTCACTTGTTCTTGGAAGATTATATTTTCACCGATCGTGTATTCGATAACTCACGTTCAAAATCATTTGAATCATACTTTTCGAAAGATGTTGTAGGAGATACCACAAGATTCTATAGAATTTTAACAAGTTCTAGAGAGTTTTAAAAGATGACAGAATTTAGAGAATTCTAGAAGAATCTAGAAAGATTATAGCAGCGTTAAAATATTCCTGGAAGGAACTAGTAGATTCTAGAAGGATCTAGCAAGTTCCACAAAGTTCCGGAAAGCTCTAGAAGTTTTAAGATAGTTATGAAACGTTCCGGATGATTTCAGAAACATTGAGAAAGGTTTTAGCAATATTTCTGTATCTGACCTTTGACCCGGCACAAAGAAACAGATAGATAGACACTGAACATTATATATATATAGATATTCGGTTATTCTGGCAACCGCAACGAATCTTCCAAAAATGTCGTCGCAATTAGCAGATGAAGACTTAGTTCACTTCATTGAAATAATTCAAAGTACAATGACTGAAATCAAAAAGATTCTTAATTATGTACGAAAAGATGAAAACGAAAACGACACGAATTTAAATGTTGTTCATTAATTTTTACTAATCCCTATAGAAATCGAACTGATCATAAATATATGAATCATGAGTTTATTAGTAAAAAACTAATAATAAAAATATATGTATAAAAAAGATTATCAATCAAAATAATAACAATTATCAATTAAAATTTGTGTCATGCATAGAGGTCGACAAGTTCAGTTTTAGTTCCGAACTGATGAACTGTTCAAATCGTTCACTACCACGAACTGAACTGATCGAACAGCTCTTTTGAACGAACTGGGCGTTTTTCAAGAGCCCAACTCTACAAACTACTTATTTTACAAATCAGTTCTTTCAAAACGAACTGTTCGAAAAAGTTCAGTTCGTTCAAAAGAACTATTTCAGCAGTTCTTTAGTTCATTTGAACGGAGTTCATGAACTTGAGCTGGTAGACCCCTAATCATGCATGAAATGCTTTCATGATATTTTATGAAATGGCAATATTGTCTAATTTATTGATTCTTGTTTTCTTATCAAATCAAAGCAAATTTACTTTGTACTATACATTATTAAAAATGGCAGCATATTAACAAAAGCGTTGATTTGATCTAATACATTTTTCTTTTATTGAAGATTGATTTAGAAAGGGGATGTGGGTGTGGGTGTGGGTGTGGGTGTGGGTGTGGGTGTGGGTGTGGGTGTGGGTGTGGGTGTGGGTGTGGGTGTGGGTGTGGGTGTGGGTGCGGGTGGGTGGGAGTGGGGGTGG